CAGGGGTCTCCACAGGGCTGCTCCAGCACCCAGGGCTGCATCGGGATAGGTCCATGCAGCTTCTCCTCGGGGATGTCTTGCAGGAAGTGAGCCTTGCCACCTGAAGCAGGGAACTGCTAAGGCAGCTGCACCCTGGTCCGACCATCAGAAAGCAAGAGACCAGAGAACTAGAAAGGCGAGGATCACTGAGCCATTTGTCCCTCCGCCCTTCAATTAACCCCACATGTGTTTATCAGCCAGGTTGGCGCAATAAACTAACTACCTCACAAAGTGAAAAAGAGAAGGCAGGCCAAACTGGAGACTGGAAGACATGGGGAAAATAGTTTATCTGTTTATTGAGCCTTTGTGGGCTTTCTCCCTAGATGTATGATACTTCAGTTTGTTTGTTTGTTTGTTTTAAGTAAACATAAAAACACAGGGACTTGGAACATCAATCCATTGCAATATACAAATTTTGCTCCCATCTTGCTTTGAACAAATAGCTAGTAAAATAAATGTTTGATTAACAGGGAACTCTAAAGACTATTTAAACCTCTTGTTTTAATCCCTTTTGTATGCATTTGAAAGCTGGACCATGAATAAGGAAGACCAGGTAAGAAGCGATGTATTTTGAATAACCGTGTTGGTGAAGAACATTGCAAGTGGCATCGCCCGTCAAAAGCACAGCCCACTCTGTCTTGGAAGAAGGACAGCCGGAGTGTTGGTTCTGGTGAGACTTGGTCTCGCTTACTTTGGACCTGTGGTCGGGAGAGATCAGCCCCTGGAAGAAGACGTCATGTTTGGTCCAGTAGAGGGTCAGTGTAAGAGAGGAAGACCATTAAGGAGATGGCTCAAACATAAGTTCCTTCCCATGTTTCCTTCCGTTATACATAGGATTGCTATGAGTCAGAACCCACCTGAAGGTACCTGACAACTTAACAACAAACATCTAACGAGGCCAGGGGCGGTGTCAGCCTGACGCACGGCGGCGGCCCCGCCCACTTCCTGCGTTCCGGGGGCGGGGCTCGAGGGGGCGGGGCTTGAGGGGCGGGGCGGAGGGGCCGGGGTTCCGCTGAACTGGGACAGGGAAGTGCTTGGGATGTCAACATCACCGGGGGCCTTCCTGCCCCGCTGCGGGCCCGGGATGGTGGCCAGGCCGGAGCTTCCTCGTTTTTTGTTGACTGCTCACAAGCAGGCTTCCCCTGCGGTGGCCTGGCCGCATTCTCGCGGAGGAATGGCGATGAGGCAAACTCCGGGCTGGGTGGGACCCTACTGAATTCTTGTCAACAGCTCCAGCCGCCCGCCCGCCCGCTGAACTAAGACAGGGGTGGGTGGTACCTTCTAAGAGAAGAGGGATCCTCAGCGTCCCAGCGCCCACTGTAAAATGTGAGACATTTAGGGGGGCTGAGGAGGACCTGATTGATCAGAGAAGGGTATGCTGCGCTGCATGTCCACCCACACGGCAACACTGGCTTCTTAGCCAAGGGACAATTTCTCCATCAATGTCACTGCTGTTCTGCTCAAATTAGTCATGCTTTCTGCCTGTACCTTTATTCCAGGGATGGTGTCACTGCACAGGGCATTTTAGGAGCTAGTGGGGGATTTTTTGCATTACTCATGGCGTGGTCACTGTGTGTGTGTGTGTGTGTGTGTGTGTGTGTGTGTGTGTGTGTGTGTGT